AAAGCCTGGGATTCCTCTGGCACATGCAGGGTGGGAATTTTTGCTGCCCTCATTAATAAGCATGTACTGGTCTTGCTTGTGCCACAACCCAGGCACAGCTTCTAAGATTTAGCTGCCTCTAATGAAAGACACAAGACTTAGCTTAATGAATCAGCAACAGGCTTCTCCCATCTAAAATTTTGTGGGTTTGCCCATTTGGGTAACCGTGAATAGACTAATTCTAGAGTTTCTGTTGACTGAGGAATAACCTCTCTTGGCCATGGTGCTAAAGAAAAGCAAGTAGCTGCCTCCAGCTTTCTTTCATTTCTTCCTCCTGCATGAGCAACATACAAACAGTCCAGACAGGAGAGGAGTAGGTGGGAGGCCCTATGCAAGGAAAATGAGACCATGGAGCTAGAGGTGGCATTACCCTTGGGTTAATGAACTGGAACAGTCCGCTGGCCTGCAGGCATGTGAGGTTATAGAGCAACCTTATCAAGCTCTGCTAGTGCACAAGATACTCTGGAGTGTATGCAAGATGGGAACCCACCTTGACAGCCCCCTGCCCTGCATGATATATGTATGTGTTAGTTGTTTATTAGAGTTTTATTTTAATTTACTGCTGTCACCATGACAACAACATTCTCAAACAAGCATTTCCTGTTTTTCTTTCTCACATAGAGAAGCAAATGTTTTCTGAGCCATAAAACCAAAGTCAATCACTGGTTGTAATGACACTGATAACAACATTCAGCCCCACAGCCTAAACCCGGGGCTTCTCTACCAAACCACAAGTTACAGTCTGCAGTAGTGAGACTACATGCAACAGAAGCATGACATTTTCGAAGATGATCTTTCAGTGCAGTTCAATGGGAACAAATTCTACATAGAAAAACATTTGGAGCTCATTTTATAAACAAAACTGAAATACCACGAGTGAGTCCTTGCAGGTCGTGTTAGTTCCTTAAACTCATTGAGCAAATGTTTTGGGACAAAGGTAGGGACAAATAGATAGCATTGCTGTCCTTTCTGTAAGAGGTTGCTTGGAGAGTTTTTTGACTCTTGCTTGTTGTATTGTACAAGTAACATATTTTGATTGAAGCATAGCAGCTTCATTTGCATCATGGTCAGTACAGGCTGCTATCACAGTCCTGGTTTCATAACCAACTTTTTAGCATATAGTACATTTACTGCTTATTCTAAAATCCTATTGAGTGTTGTAAGCAGTTCACTCTGATGGTGAAGAAAATCAGATCTTCACATGTGTGCTTCCCAACCACACCACTTACCCTCTGATGGTCAATGTGGTTTGTCCTAAGATAAAAACACCAGGTAGGTATTGCAGGAAGAACTGTCTGGATGATCACATAATTAATGTCTTCCAGAAATGGGGCAGCTAAGATGTTTTCAATTGACTTTGGTGCACATCAGCCTGTATAAGGGTAAAGTGTTGATGGAGGCTAGGTCAACTGTGCAAACTTGTCTCCTGATGTTGTAGGCATCTTCAGGGTGAACCCCTTCCCTGGCAGGGATGCCTGCAAGGAACACCCACTTTTGGAGGGTGAGTGAAAAGCACTACCATACAGACAGAAAATCCTAAAGTAGCAACATAGATGCTTTGTTGCTTTGTAATTGTGACTCCTGCAACACCGAAGACTCTAAACCTACACATTTTTAGCCAAACCTGCTTATATTATAGTACTTCAGAGATCAACTGTTGACCAGTCTTAGACTAAGTCAACCTAGCTGCACCTAGACTTCCCTGAGAAATTTAGAAATCAAAGTCTTACTGAAGCTTGCAAATCAACAGGAGGGACAATGACCTGATTATACTATAATCTATTGCAGTAGATGACAGAGTGATTATTTAGTTATACTTCCCCAGCAATATTATTGTATCAGCAATAAATCTAATCATAATCATCCATATAATCACTGTGCTCTCCTTCACATATGTAGCTGAGAGTTTCTCTCAACAACTCTTTCACAAAGGTACAAATTATGCAGTTGGATGTTTACTGTAGCAGTTCTGTTCACTACAAATTTTAATTGCACAAAGAATGAAGACATTAGATTGCATTAGAGAGTAGCAGGGCTCTCTCTGCTAATAGCTCCTGTTGCTGTAGTCAAGAGTTTTATTCAGAAAAGTTTTTTAGGCTTTGTTGCGATTTCTGCTGGAGTCAGTGCCAACATATTTTGCATGTGTCTTGGTTTTGGTATCATGGGCTTGTGTTTAGGGTGTAGCAGCCGGTTCTATCAAGTATAACTGTTTCTTTAATTAAAGGCAAGTTATAACACTGTGCAATTTCAGTGAGATTCAGCACAATGAATTGGCAAAACTGCCAGCAACACTCATTCCATAATAGCTACTGTAAAATTCAGTGCCAGGTAGGAAGCATGACTTCACCACCATCCAAACAGTAAGCCATTTTGCAGATTACTTCCTTCCACATGCTATTCTTGCTGTGTATTTTGTCACTGTGTTATGACTCCATAAATAAGCAGGGCTGGGAAAAGTTGACAGTGTAGAAACACCCTCTACCAGTTAATTAGAAAAATTATCTTTGAATCTAAATTGAGGATATGGCAATCATTAAAAACCATGAGATTTTCACCCTCTCATTAGCTTTCACTATGCATTCAAGGGATATTCCGTTCTTTTCTCCTTCTATTCCAGTCTAGGGCAGGACTGAAGAGCCTTTCACCTACTGAAGGTCTGCTTTTAACCATATGCAAAAGTGCAGCTTTTTCAAGTTACTCAGCATCACTGACAGACTCACCTCCTATTTACATGCACAGATCTTGCACTTCCTCTCTCCAAGTCAGAGCTCAGCTTAGTGTATCAAACATGCACGATGGAAATTACCCATTATTATCTACTGGAACCTTACACTCATTATGACAAAAACTTATCTACTGGAACCTTACACTCATTATGACAAAAACCAGAGATAATAAACCATTGAGATAATAAACCATTCTAAAGAGGAACACTAATTACAAATTATTGTTCTTTTAAATCTGAGAATTTACAAATACAACTAAAAGAACTATCACAGAATCACTTAAATGAGAAATGACCCTTAAATGACCCTTAATATTATTGCGTCCAACTGTTAACCTAACAGGTTAAAAGGTTGCCCAGTTCACCACTAAAACACGTCCCAAAATGCCACAGTTACATGTGAACACTTCCAGGAATGGTGATGCCACCACTTCCCTGGGCAGCTTGTCCCAATGCCTGACAACCCTTTTCATGAATAACCATTTTCAAATATCTAATCTCTCCTGATGCAACTTGAGGCCATTGTTTCTTGTCCTGTCACTTGTTACTTGGAAGAAAAGACTGATTGCCACCATGTTACACTCTTAGGTATTTGTAGAGAGCATAAGGTCTCTCGTCCAGACTACACACCTCCAGCTTCCTCAGCTGCTCCTCATGGGACTTGTGCTCCCAGCTCCCTTCACCAGCTCCACTGTCCTTCTCTGAACTCACTCCAGCACCTCAAAGTCTTTCCTTTTCTGAGGGTCTCAAAAATGAAAACAGAAGATTTGAGGTGTAGCCCCACCAGTGCCCAGGACAGGGGGACAATCCCTGCCCTGCTCCTGATGGCCACACCATTGCTGATCCTGGCCAGGATGCCATTGGCCTTCTTGGCCACCTGGGTACAGCCTGGCTCATGTTCAGCTGCTGTCACCAGCACCCCCAGGTCCTTTCCAGCCACTCTGCCCCAGCCTGTGGAGCTGCCTGGGGTTGTTGTGACCCAAGGGCAGGAACCAGCCCTGGACCTTGTTGAACCTCACACCATTGGCCTCAGCCCATGATCCAGCCTGTCCAGATCCCTCTGCAGAGCCTTCCTTCCCAGCAGATCAAGACTCCCACCCAGCTTGATGTCATCTCTGAAATAACTGAGGGTGCACCTGATCCCCTCATCCAGATCATCAATGTAGGTACTAAAGATGACTTGCCTTGGTGCTGAGTCCTGGGGAACTGCACTGGTGACCAGCTGGATGTAACTCCATTCACTGTCACTCTCTGGTCTTTACTATCCAGCCAGTTTTTTACCCAGAAAACAGTGCACCCATCCAAGCCCAGAACAGCTGATTTCTCTGGAAGAATGCTGTGGGAAATGGCCAAAGGGCTTTAAAAAATATATGCAGAAAACATACACAACCTTTCCTTCGTCCACTAAGTGTGTCACCTTGTCATAGAAGGATATTGGATGGGTGATGACACTCAGGATGACCTGATCTATGACCTTCCCTTGTACCAAGGTCTGACTGACCACAGCCAGTTCTGTGGATCCTCCTTGTGCTAGCCTGGGACCTCTCCAGTTAGCCAGGACTGCTGATACATGATGGAAAGTGGCTTGGTGAGCACTTTCAGCAGCTCCCTTAGCACTAATGGTAGATCCCATCTGGCCTCATAGACTTGTGTATAGCAAGTTATGATTTCCCCATGGATTATGGGAGCTTCATTCTGCTCTCTCATTTTGCTTCATTCTGAACAACAGAAGGCACTTAAGTACCTCAGCCTCTTTCTCTTCCTTTGTCACTGTTTGGTCCCACATCTGATAAAGTATGGAGATTTTCCTTAGAACAACTTTTGGAGTCAATATATTTATAAAAATATTTTGTATTGTATTTTATGGCAGTACTTTGACTATTACAGTTTTCTCTTTGCATATCCTCATGGAATCTTCATGAATTGCCTGCCCCTCGTCCAAAGTTTTCAAATTCTTTTTTTTTTGTCCTGAGTTCACCAAAGCAGGTCTTCTTTTCCAGCAGCCCATCTTCTGGCTCATGTCATGTATTTGACTACAGAAAACCATTGGAGGATGCAGATAGTGTCCTTGCACACAGGCTCACTAAGTGAACTGAGACATCAAATCCTTTCTTTTGGCACTGTCCAGTGGGGAAGGAAAGATGTGGCATATTATTATTATTATATGACTCATTTTACTGTAACACTGTAACAGTTACACATGGGTGGGGAACAGAAAACACAAAAGAGAAAGGCATAGACAGCGATGTATATCCTTGTTGCCTTCCATGCACAGTGAGCTCCTGTGCCAAGGACTCAGTGTTGACATCAGCAAATACTGGCATCACTCCAGGCTACCTCCTCATTTCATCACTTCAGGATGGGCTTTTCCTTAAAAGTAAGTGAGTTGAATGTATATTTTGATAGCACCTAGAAGAAGCAAGTGCAAAAAGCGCACCTACTGAGTAAGCCACTACGTAATCCTTGCCCTGAAGAGCTAATAATTACCATCCAAGAGGTCTTACTATGAGAATTATAATTACTGTATTTTCTTAAAGTTTTATTGCTGAACTTAGTTACAGTGAGAATTCAGCTTCTGTGTAAAATTAAAAAAAAAGACTCCTGACTTTCCCAGAAGTAAAAATCTTTTAAAAATGCAACTTACATATATTCTAATGGCTAGAAGTACAGACAATAAATGAAAAATTATGTTTATTATTTGCAAAATAGTATCAACCTGGGTGGTGACTGTCAATAGCTTCTTTTTAACTCATCACACATACTGTTAATCACACACATACTGTTACCTGTTACTGTTAGTTTAGTTTTCAACAGATCTGTCTTTTTTCCCAATTGCCTGGTTAGGTGGTAGTGTTTTGGGAACTAAAGAGAGAGGCCTAAAAAAAGGGAAAAAATATACCAGTTAAAATGAATGGCAAGCATTATTTTGCAGCTCCATGAACAAACCCTCTAAAAAAGACTGGTACGGTCTGGGGATGTCATGTTTGCCATTACGTTACAAAGTCAGTAATAAAATACAAGAATTCATTGCTGTCAGGGATGAACAAGACAATTTTGTAAAGTTTTGCTGGATGTTTAAATTTTTCACTTCATTGATGTAGATATTGAGAATGTGGAAAGCAATGTAGGGAATTACCCTTCATATTTATATTTCAAATTTTTGAAGATTTTGTGGTGTTAGGTCACATCCTGCCAGGTCACTCTTAATAAATAGAATGCAAAATGTCTAAACATGACAGTACTTTTTAACTTGGTGATAGGACTGGTGCTTAGGATGAAGAGATACCTGAGCTGAAATCCCCTTTACGCATTTCAGTCCTCAAGGTAATGGGTAAAAAAGGGCAGTGTTCCTCTTCTGTTTCTCTGTAGATTTTCTTTTGGGAAGAAGGAGGTTGAAAGCAAGGAAGAATTTTTTTTGTTGCCACATGAAATGGTAAAGCAGAATCAGGATCTTCTGGATTAGAGACCTGATGTCTCTCAGGCATGGAGCAGACTGCGCCTTTATTTTCAGCAGTTTCCCCCTAAGCCCTTAGGCATGGAGGGCCCTAACTCAGTGCCTTAAGTAAGGACACTCCAAAGCATACTGCTGTTTTGGGGTGGTTTTTTGTCTTTGCAGTCAGGTTGTCTGCTTTAGTGTCAGCTTTTACAGAGCAGAGACAGACAGAGAGGTTCTCCCCCCAGCTCCACTCACACAAATCTTCCACAAGATGGTATCTGTAACTCCCATGAAGGCCAAAGGAAGCTAGTTTGTTCCAGCAGGGACAGCCTTGCCTGCAGTTCATCCAGAGATCCAAGCTCACTGGGGCAGCCTCCTGCTGCTCTGCCCAGTGTGGGAGGCTGAACACAAACAAGGCTACTTTTTTTGCAGGGAGTTGGGAGCCAAATGCCAAGAGTTTTATCTCTTTGAAACAGGTTTTTACCTGAACCACCTAATTACTTTTCATAAATCCTTCAGGTCTTCATACAATATTTCATTGTATTCTCTTGTGACCAGTAGTGAATGTTTAATTACATTTCAATTATATATTTTTAATGATATGTATTTTAATGTAATATTTTTTTCTGTATAACTAGAGGTAAATTAATCATATTTCAATTATTTTCATGTGTACACCACAATATGCATGCAATAAAAAAACCCTTGTATTTCATCAGGTCAAGAAAGGTAATACAGTTATGACTCCATCCCAGAAAAACCGGATCAACCAGCTTTTCTGCTAAAGTCTAAACAAGCCTAAACACACTAGGCAGAATAAAATCTAACATTTTCTTTATTTCAAATCCCTGGAACCACAGATTGGTAGATAGGTTGAAAAGCATTTGGCTTCATTTTGCAGAAAATGCACAACAATAAGGCTAGTGTTGAAGCTGCCAGCATCAAGTGATATGTTGAATTAAATATTCAGCATTAACCTTTGCAGCCCTAGGAATATACCTTTCACTGACCAAACATTTGTGAAACATTTAGACTTTCTTATTTCCCACACTCATACTCCTAATTAAATTTCCATCAAACCCCATGACGATAGATAATATACTGAGTAGCTGTAACAACCATGCAGAACTCACAGGGAGCAAAAATCCAAGTACTGCTGCTCCTACACTTCAGCTTTTTACACTGTTTTGAAAAAAGTTATTTCTTGGCAGTTCAAAGACTATACAGAGGTAAGATTATATTGTTTCAATGTAAAATTATTAAATGTAGTGTAAAAAGTTTTACTTGGATTTAGCAAAGGAAACTGGTGGATGTGAGTTCATCAGGAACCTTCCCTTAGCAGCAAAGGAAACTGGCAGGAGATCTCTGATCTCACCCTGCTGTAGTAATACTTGGTTGAGAGAGAGGGAAAAAAAGGGGAACACAGCTGCTCACTCATCAAGAGCCAGAATTGTGAGCTTAGATGCCTTAAGCACAGCAGAAATAGTGCCAGGCAATAGGACAAGAAGCAATGGCCAGAAACTTATACACAGGAAATTCTACCTGAACATGAGGAAAAAGTTATTTACTGTGCAGGTGACCAGATGCTGGAACAGATTGACCAGAGATGTTGTAGAGAATCTCACTGGAGATATTCAAGACCCATCTGGATACAATCCCGTGCCATGTCCTCTGGGATGACCCTGCTGCAGCAGGGAGGTTGGACAACATGACCCACTGGGGTCCCTTCCAACCTGACCCATTCTGTGATTCTGTGAGAAAGAGGGAGAAATTGCCTGCAGAAGCCAAGCCCAGACTTGCAGTGGATACTGAACTAGAACCTAGGCAGAAGCAGGGATGTGAAGTCTCTGTAACAGACCCTGGCTTGTGCCAAGCACACCACTACCTGAGAACTGGAAACAGGCCATCAAAAAACCTCACAAGATTATCCCTCACCAGAAGTTAGTGAAGACAGGTTCTCACTGAATGCTTTCATGCCTGCATCTTGGGGTGAAACATCTCACTTCACCTAGCAACCAAATTAGTGAAAATTGCCTGGGATTGGTACAATCCAGTGCAACTGGAATAAATACAACTGTCAGAAGAAACTATTTTATCTCTCCTGAAGGAATTAACTGCTTGCTCTTTGCACTGGGGCTGATTAGCAATCCGAGTCCAGCTCCTTCCCTGTGCATCCCTTAGAGACATTTAACAGTTTTAGGCAGAAAGAGGAGAAAAGGAAAATGTTTCCTGATTCTGTGCCTTGCAGCAATAGCCCCACATTTATGGTGTGGTGTGTTCAGGTAATCAGGATAGGGTTGCTGGTATACAGTCCTGCATGGGTTCACTTCTCCCTGCCACCCCAAGGGAAGTCAGGGCAGAACCAGAGACAATGTGGCATTGGGAGGCATGACATTCCTATGTGGTCCTATGTGCAGCAAGGCAGATGGAAGTTTTCTGTCCTTCCCATTCTCTTAACAGTCTTTCATTTCCACTTCTTCAGTGGTGAAAGTGACTGCTCTGCACATGCAGCAAATAACCTGCAAATCCTAACAGCTCTTTGCTTATTTAGAAGCACCTTGCTTCTAAATATGTATTGTCTAAGCATTTTCATAATCAGTGTCTAGAACATATTACATCTAGGACATAACCACATTTTGTATGTGCAGTTCAAAAGTTAGAAATATTTCAGCTGAATAGAAGAAAAAATATTTTTCTAAATATGAATGATAATAATTACTATGTTTTCATTAAACTGAAAAGGAGTTATACCATTCACAATAAAATTATTTTTGGTCATAACACTAGCTTTTTTTAATACTGTGGTAGGCTTCAATTTTGGGCCAGTTAACAATATTGAATATGATAAAGTGTTTGTAGTTTTTCCCTGATTGTGCAGAGAGTGGGAGGTGGGGTGAGACACCGGGAGGGGACAAGGGTGTATCCTGCCACACTGAATAAACACTGTGAGAGCAGACAGGATGCCTGTGTGGAAAGCCTGTGACTCAGCACAGCCGCGTGGATCTCCCCCTCACATCCTTAGTACTGGGAGTTTCCAAATCATTTTTAGGCATCCTGGTCAACTGACACACTTTTTCCATTAAACTAATTTCTTTGTGGACATTGGGCTCTGCTTCTAGATAGACCACTGATAAAATAATTACAGAAGTAATTCCAATCTCTGCATTTTTTCATAAACAATCCCTAAGTAGGACAAAAGCAGCCCCCTCTCGTCATTAAGCCACCTTAATGACGATGGCAAGAATTCCCAAAAAAGTTATCTGCAAACCACTTGAATTATGGTGAAACAGCAGCATTTACTGGAGTTAGAGGAAGGGATAACACCAAAACTATGAGAAGACTATATATGCTCAAACCAAACGGACACATCTCTTCCATGTTAGAGAACTGGGAGATACGTGGGTTCAAACAGAGACTTCTCCTTCAGCCTTTCTAATTTGCCCATCCCAAAGACACAACTAACATTACCTGTTTGCAAGGAAGGTATATCACACAGCAGCATGTACACAGACCTTCCCTATCCTTCCACAGATAACTTTTGATGCAGGGAATTCTGCAAAATTATGAAGTGCCAGCATCTCTCTCAAATGGTGATCTTTACTGCAGTCCACTGTTGTGGGTGCTTGCCCAGCCAAACCTACAGGTCCTGCCAATACATGACATAGTTGGCCTCCCTGGAGAGCACAGAATGGCTCCAGGAGTCCTCTCCATCAGCAAATTGTGGCTTTGTTGGCACGCAGAAGGAAACATAGAGAAGCAATGAAGGACATCAGAGTGTAACCTGAATGACACACATAACAACACATGGACATATTAAAGTTGAGCCTACCCCTAGGAAGAGCCAGATGGCAAATGATCACACTATTCAAAGGAAGATCCACTGGCCTGGACACCAGCCACAACAGTCAGCATAAGCAGATGCACAGAAGAGGAGGAGGGAAAATACAAATGGTATTTCCCCAATTAATCTCTCACTCAAATACTACATCCTGCTCAGGGAAATTCTCAAGTTAGTTATGGTTTGTCTCTTTAGTAATCCACAAGAGTTGCACCATCTTCTGGGAAATTATGGAAACCTCTTGTATGCCCAGCATCATTTGTCAAGAAACTTCACAAGTCTCCTACCTGCTGGACATCCTTTGTGCCATGATTTTTATATCTGAACTTGGTTCAAAGTATTTGAGTGGTTGACACCAGCCCCTAGTTGTGTAAAACAGGTTGTGAATAGACTGAAGTGTTCCCAGCTGCCTCATCAGGTCTTACACAAATGTGATTCAATACTTTCTATCATGTGGCATAAATACTGCTGGACACTTGTCAAAGACTAAATTGTTAATGTGATCATTTTGTATGTTATGCCCAGCTGTAGAAGTTAACTTTAATCCCGTTCAATGTAGCTTACAAGAACCATTGGTATATCTATTGCTTAACTTCCTTGATATTAATCTATTGGCATAAAACTACAATAGTCAAGATATTAACCCCTGCCAGAACAGACAGTGCAAAAACAATAATTTCTTTATATATCTTTAAATATCATAAACCATGACTGTTGCCACATAAACTGCCTGACTCACACGTTGCCCTTGGACTTTTTAAACACATATCTGAAACACTCTCTCTTTTACATCAACACAGGCATGACATCAACTACACTGGAGAACTGATGCTGTTAAAATTCTGCCTCTCTTTGGATAAGTATACAATGACCCTTATGCAGTTGTCCCAGCCTAAGGGCCTACCCATGGGGATGGTATGGGATAGTATAAGTCAATGCACATTGTGAAGAAAAAAATCTATGGTCTTTCAAGTATTTTTCTTTTTTCCCATCCTTCTACCAGATGGCAGTTGCAATACTTCACTATCATGATGACTAGAAAAATTACATTCATTGTAATTACATACATTGTTCATTTTTTATTTAGATCACTGAAATATTAAGAACCCATGTACATAACATGGATATGCTGACATACCTGCTAAAGTCAGGTCAAATTCATGGTCATAAGTTAATAAATGCATGATTCTGTTAAAATTTTCACAATTGGTTAGGAGATGTGGCCAAAATGTTGTATTTCATACCTGCAACTTACAGGGCAATTCAGAGTAGCAGCTATCATAAACTTCCAAAGGATGCAGAATAAAAATGGGGAAATAATAAGATACTGTACAAACCTTAGACTCATTCAATTTTAGAACATAATACTGTGATTCAATAAATCATACTTTCCTAACAGTTATGATTTTTAATTATTTATTACAAGTATCAATTTTCAAGGATGAGTAAGAGACAGGTCGTAAAAATAGAAAGTTGATGAAGTAACTACAAAGAGAAAAACTGTTTAGAATAGGGGAGTTTTCAGATTTAGGAATTTTGTCCATAAGTCCTCCTTTATTTTACAATATTCATATTGTTCATATAATCTTTACATCAGTCAGCCCTGTCATGAATGAATGTCACATATTTATCTGTTCAACTGAACTAAAATCTTGGTGCAGAGATCTTCCATGAAGCTCTCTGAATTAATTTCTATTTTGTTCTTTGCAAGTATCATTTGGCATCTAAAAAGATTCTCTGATTAGATAGATCCCAGCATTAGCAAGTGCTTAATTAGTGTGCACAAGATTTCATTGTTGCCATTAAATGGATGCTGACTATTGGCATTCACAAGTGAGAATGGCATTACTGTTTGGGAAAACTCTAAGTTCAAGGAACCATCAACAATTCTCAGAGTTCATCAACCCCTAAAGCTGTCTCAGAACATATCCACACTGTGATAATTACATAATGTCAACAAAACTGAGGTAATCCAACATCATCTGAAACTGACATGGGCAGAATGCACTGGCCAAATCACAGCTCACATTGTATCAGCTGTTCACTTCAGCAGTAAAGCATCACCTGCCTTTTATTGACTGTGGCTTAGATTAAAGCAAGTTTACAGTTTTAACATGGTGTAGGTTTCATAAGACTCTTCTGAGGAAGACTCTTCTTCCTCTCACATAACTCCTCCTCAGCCCATGCCTGCTTCTCCATATAAAATCCTCTCCTCAGTGGATTTGCTGTGGATTTACTTAAATGCTGGCCATTAGGTTGTAATTCTGCTAAACAGATAAAGGGATAATGAGGGAAAGAAAACAGTATCAAGTCATCACCCATAAATTACTGCTTTTTTCCTTGATTTTTGAATTCCTTTTCCACAGGCATTCTCTACCAACAAGCTAGAAGGAGTCAAAAATTCACAACTGTGATGTGACTAGTAGTAAGAGTGGGGTATCAGAATAACACCCAAAATATATATACTTCTAGTAAACTGAGAAACATGAAAGGGCTGGTGGAAGTAGATGCATGAAGTACTGGTCTTTGAAGGTGACCAAGTATGGGATTCAATGTCACTCTTCATGCTCTTTATCTCAGACTAAAAAAGCAGTTATTCCCAGTGTTCACCAAACTTTGTGGTTTGTGATTGGCATTTTTCCACACCTGTGGTCTAGCTCCTCAAAATGACTACAAATCCCATGGGACTCCTCATAGATCTACTGCTATTCTAAAACCTAGTTGGTGGTGGTCTTCCTCAGTGCTCCACCTGGTGCTTCTCCCTCTGGGCTCCTGGTCTTTCACTTGATTGGGAAAACTGTCATTGTCTGTGTGGTGGGGAAGCAAGAATGCAGGGGGGCTGAACAAGTTTCTCTCTCAAAGATAAAAACCCGATGATCTCAGCAAGAGTCCTCCTTGTTGCCTGACTCACAACTGATCAGTAATGTTGAACATGACCTAAAAACCTTAAGTGTTCCTAGCCAGAATCAGATTAGACAGGGTCTAGAAAGCAGTACAATAGCTTTTTTTTTTTTTTTTAACAGAGGTACACCCCTATGAAACCACTGAGGGTGACTTACGAGGTAGAACATTATATCAAATCTTAGTGTTTTCAGATTCTGAACAAAAGTAAGACCACTAATGTCAGTATAATGAAGGACTGGGATTTGATTTGGCTAGGAACATTGTTGTACAGTCACTAATGACTGTGCTGGAGGCATTACTTCTGTACTCATGACATCACCTAATCCTCCTACCAGGATGAGCTAGACATACCTACATCATTCCTGTTTATCTAAACTTTAAAAGTGCCAGTGATGGATGTCCTACAGATTCTCTAGAAAATGAGCGCTCAGTAAAACTGGTGCTTGTTAAAACTTGATTGTTAAAACATTTTTCCTAATATCTAGCTTTGCCAACACTTCAGTCCACTCAGTTAAGATAGAAAATATGCTGCAGCCCTGGACATATGTTAGGTACATCATCAGGTCCTCCACAATCTTCTTTAGACTAAACAAATACAAATAGAATACAAACGTTCTTCAGGTTTTTCCAGCTGTTTACATCATCTCTGGACTTTGCCTGGTTTTCTTTAGAGAAGATTTGGATGGAGTAAAGAACATCCAACAAACAGTACATTGGTGCTCAGTGGAGCAGCAAACTACACAGAAGTATGTTACAGACAACAGCCTTCTTTGATGCAAGACAACACTGTAGGCACACAATATGTTTGTGATCCACTTTGTAACAATTCAGACTACCTGAAGAGGAACTGCTTTTTTATACACTCCACCCTATATTCCTTCCAACATAGAAGTACAAACAAGGCAAGAATTTTAATAAACCCATACTGAAAATAAATTTCAATTCCCTTCAAAACAGCTTTATAAACTCAGCTTAAACTTGTGACTGTGCTGATGAGTGGTGAGCAGTCTGCACATCCCTTTCTTTGCCTTCTATCTATGCAGAGAGAGCTCTTCCCCAGTTTTCAACAGCAGCAGGATAAGAAGTCAGTAGAAGCTGAATCGTGGTATTTCAAGTGTATATATACATCTAAGTAGAGGTGTAAGTACAAGATCAACTGTTTTTGTGAGCAGACTACATAGAAAGACTTAATATGATGTCAAAACTAAATCCCTTTCAAAATGTATATGTTGCATCCCAGGAGTTGATAGGGGATGCTGTTCGTGGGATACCCTGGGATGGGATCCCCATTTAAGGAATGTTCTCCCACAGTCCTTCACTGTTAATGTACTCCAATTACATTACCCCTTGTCCTGGCCCCAGAGTTATGTCATCCCTGTTCTCCACCCCAGTTCTAGAATGTTTCCTGGCTTCTCTATTGGCCCTCATTCCCTGTCACTCCTCCCCTGGACCCTGGTTGGCTGCCATCCTTTAACCATGCCTCTGCACCACCCCTGTGCCCTCAATGCACTGACCCTCAAACCTGTTGCTCCGCCCTTCCCTGCCTGTATATAATCCTAGACCAGCCTTTGTTCTTGGTTCTTTGTCCCTTGTCACTTTCTCAGTGAGGGTAAATTCCCTAGGAACACCATACAAAGAACCCTTCTGTCTTTCATCAGCATAAGAGAACATCATGGTGCACGAGCGTCCGGTGCGCTGAGCTATCCTCTATCTCTGTCCCGAGACAGAACTCTCGGGAAGGCGCTGGTCTCGGCAGCTCCTGCCATGCTGCTGCACATATGCACAAGAATGTTAAGACTGAACAACAGCCCAAATTGAAGCATCTCCTCATTTTCAATTGCTTGATTTTAGTACCTTTATTTTTTTTCATGCAGGGACAGCTGAAGACAGATGTACCACAGGCTAAACAACTGTCAACACAAGTACAGAAGCACTGCTTTACACTCTGCTTAGACCAAACCGTTCTGTTAAATTCACTTGTCCTCTGTCACTGCAAGGTCACGGTGAACAGGAGTCACCTCTCTACTTCTATGTCAGCATGAAGCCTGTTTTGTGCCACCTATGTTTTTACACCTTAGGCACTGAGAATATCTAACATTTTAACCTAGACCTTTAATCATATTTCTCATGTCTCCCGCCCCCTTCCTGGATCTTGCTTTTGAGAAAAGTGAAAATACACAGAGTTAAAAGCCAAAGACAGAAACAAACACAGGACAATGCTGGCAGAAAGTCAGGAGAATCAGGATGGTACCCAGTAACCATTAAGAGATCACCTGAAAGAACCAATACTACCTAAATGTTCTGCCAGCACAGTGACCCCAAAATGCCATAAATTATTACGCTACCCACACTGGCACCTCAAGTAGTGACAACATAATAACACATCAGCACAACAGGCTTATAAAGTACATATTTTTCCATGGCCAGATTTTCAAAAATCTGCAAGAAACTTGGTGCACATGAAATAAGGAGGTAACAAACTTCCTAAATACAAAATGAAATAAAATGGATCCTTGGTCACAGAGGAACAGAAAATATACAGCTGCTGCCCATAATCTCTCATTTCCTAAACTCCTTGTGATGCAGTGCTGGATTTTTCCCCAGCCAGCTCCCTGCACCGAGTCCAGAGTGGGCTGCTCCTGGAAAGCAGGGCAGCTTAGGGATTATGCTCTACAGCACAAGCTGTCCAGCGTTGAGGGCAGGAGCAAGGATGAGGGAGAGGTCTTCCATGTGGCTTCCAAAAGAGACTTATTCTTCTGAAGGTTCCAGGGAGGAAAGACAAAAGATACAGAGTGTACAGCAACTTATATAGGGGGGAGGAGCAAGAGGCATGTACAAATCATAAACCAATAGAGAAGACTTAGGGGAGGAGCAGAAGGAAGGGTTACATAAGGCATAAGCCAATGGGGAAGACAAGGGGTGGAGAGTGGGGCACATGGGCCAATGGGGCTTGGAGGAATAGGAGAATTCCAAATGGGGTGGTGCAGGCAGGGGTTGGCACAAGGGAGGATTGACAACTTAATGGGAGGGGGAACACAGAACATTCGGGAACAAGGGGCAGGTATCAGGGTGGGTTGGCAACCAGGGGTAGGAACATAACTGGGACTAAAGTATTAAAGTGTGGGGGTGTACAACTTAACAATAAATTAGGTAATTGAATCAAATATAATGAACAAAAAGGCACTGCAACACCTTGCTAGACACACATAGAGGAAAGGCATTAGTGACAACTCTTACCTAGTACTTAATGAGTCTGCCAGCAAGGCCAACCAACTGAGCAGGAAATAGAGACCTGTTCAAAGGCTCAGGAAAATAACCAAGAGAGACCACTTGGGATGGCACAGAGGAATTTAAGAATGAGATACAGATGGAGGGACTATAAAGAACTTAATCATGTTGAAATGAGTCATCAAAAATGCTTATTATATCCACAGTCCTGGTCTTGCACTACTAAAGCAGAGCCTTGCTGTAACTTAGTACCGAGGTATTCCCTAGTTTCCAAGAAGACAGGTGGCTAGCCTGAAGGCAGGCTAAAGCACTGTGATATAATGCATCAGCTCTTCTGAATCAAAAATTAAATTACTTTTTGAAATTAAATTCTTCACATTCTTTCATTTGACCCAAACTTTACCCTCCTCCGAGAATACTTCCACTGGTCACATTCTTTGAAGGATATTTTAAGTGCTGTGCCAGCCCTACAAGACATACTGATTTTTAAAGTTAGGGTATTTTTATTTCTTCTCCCTTCTAAAACCAGATTCTTCTTGCTCCTTAAAAAAAAAATTTAAAAAATCCATATATTTCTGTCAGATATATGGCACAAATAACCATCCTCTACCTTCTCCCCCAATGCTGTACAATTAAAATATGCCACATACTAAAAACATATTTTCCATCTAAATTCAGAAACTCCCATGGAGCAAAGAAGTACACAAAACAAACTCTACATAATAAAAAAGCTCCCACCCATTTGAAGGTCACCTTTGGAGCCCCTGTGCTAAACTGTGTTAAAACCACACTCACTACCTACTCAAAGTGCAAGGGAGGGTGTATTTCCAGTAATGGCCTTTGTCCCACGGTGCACAAGACTCTCATGACAACATGCTCCAAACAAACATTGACAGAGCAGGGAACTACAAACTAGGTTGTTCACTTACCTTTGTCAGCTTTGAGTATGCTTTGATAAGCAATGATGTGCAAGGTCAAAGCTCCCTTCAAGCCACTGTATTAAAAACGATTTTTCCCAACTCATTAACATAGGAGTATAACTATTTTTAATATTTATATATAGTATATATTTATTATATATATATGTACACAGACACACATAGATATAGTTGATGTAGATATGTAACAAATAAAATGTACAGCAAAAAACCCAAGAAACTACCAATTTGTAACAAAGAATTAAGGTTTCATAAGTTTCTACAGTCACGTACTCACTTCTTCTGTCAGTTGCATTTATCTCAATTATTATTCAATGATAAACAAATGTGAACTAGAGCACAGTTGCTTTGTGTTTATTTACAAATAGTTTATTTTCTTTCCAAACTGTTTGATAAATGACAAGCTAGGACTACAAAGAGGTTTGACAAATCAGTTGTCTTCAATAAAGACATCTAAAATCAGCAAGTTTTGACACTGCTCTGTTGAGAAGTCCTAGTGATTGCGCAGGGGTAAGACCATTTCTAGTTTCTATTAAATATTTTTTAAGTCATGGAGAAGAACTAATTTATAGACTATATGTGGGGAAAGACTATACATGGGGAATCTTCGTAACAAATATTACCTCTTCTGAAAGTGTAAATTAGGAGCTCTAATTTCTCAATAAATTGAGTAGAACAAAATCAGAACATAAGCCTGACTGGCATCGCACAGACAAAGCAGCAGGAACTGCTTGGACCATTAGCTTGCTATAGAATAATAGAATAATTGGTGTTGGAAGAGATCTTTAATGATCATCTAGTAAAATGCCATTCCAGGGGTGGGGACACCTCTTTTAAGACCAGGTTGCTCAAAACTCCATTCAACCTGGTCTTGAACTCTTCCAGAAATTCCCCATCCACAATGTCTCTTGCCAGCCTATTCCACTGTCCCACCACTCTCACAGTAAAGAATCTCTTTCCATATGTCTTACCTAAATCTACTTTCTTTTTAGCTAAATATGCTAGCCCTTGTCCTATCACTACAGGTAAAATGCTTCTCCCCACCTTTCTCAAAAGTCACTCATCTACATAAAGCAGCAATAAGGTCTCTCTTACAAGACAGGTTGATAGAGTTCTCTGATATTAAAGTCTAAGACATTCTCTCTTATAAGCTCCATTTTTCCTTGTTTGGGAATCTAATTATTCTATATTAATTATTAGTTATATTTTATATTAACTATTAATATTTAGTATTTATAGAAATGTTAATTGTAGGAAGATTATCTTCAGGTCAATTACATATTTCTGACACCTCTATGAGAAACTACACAAATTACAAACCTATGTTGGCATCATTTCCTTACACTCACCTGGAGCAAAGTCCAGAGCTGCATTTCCAGAAGATGCACTTGCAGCAACATGTGCTGCTGCACACAGCCGCAGGGCTTCTCCAGTTGCAGCTCTGGTCTGTCACGGGACAGCTGGGACCAGATTTTACTTAACAACAGCAATGAATACTTTTCCCATGTGTGCTCAGTCCCTTCCACTGTTGCTGGATCCAAGCAAAATAAAGGAGCTGTCTGCTTTGAATGTAAAGGGGACAAAAAGGTGGACTAGATGGAATAAATCAAAAGAGAACTAATAATGAAAACTGTAACTGGCAAGAGAGCACTGGCTACAGCAGAACTGGATGAGAGAGACTGACCACTCCATAGTAACAGAGATCTAAGAGGAAAAACTAGACACTAGTAAAGGGAGGCCTGAAAAAAAAGCCAAATGAGAAGACTACGGCTCACTGGACAAGGTGATTAAAAGCAGGATTAAATGCCTGTTAAATGGTTTATAATGGTAAAGTAAATAAAATAGCTCTGAAAATGAGAGAGAGAGGCAGGGCGGGAGGCTGGAGGGATGAGCTATGACTTTCCTAGTGTTTATTAAGAAGGCTGGGACTTAGATGAGAAATCCATAAACCGTGTGGATGACAAGGAGGAACTGTGTTTCAAGTATGCAGTAACTTATAACAGACTCAAAACCAAGAGGCCCTTAATGTCAATTCTGACAACCAAAACTTCTCAGTACCATTTACCTTCATTTCTCTGTACTCCCAGACATCTATTCCCAGCTGTATCTCATGACCATCACAGAAAGACAAAAAAAAAAGGTTTTTTTCTCTTTCAGAACCATGTAAAACAGTATATTCATACCATTAAAAAAGGCAATTTTATCACTGTTTGAACACAGAGTATTTTGCAGACTAAGGCAGAAAAAGCACTACTGTCTGCGGGTGTTAAGCAGGGTTGCATACATGGTTTTAACTTTGGAATTTGGTAAAGCAGTGTGTTTGGTTTGACGACCATGAAAACCTTCAAATTTCTTACCTGTGCAGATAAATAGAGAACACCGATTACATGATTTGTGCTTAATTTTGTCACTGAAATCCCTATTTGCAAAATCAAAGGGAAGCTGATGTATTCTCAGCTTAAGTGAAGCTGTCAAGTGAAAACATACCTTATTTACCTTTTCTTATTGGGTCATGCCAGCAAAGTACCATAAATGCATCTGGATTAAGCAGCAATTGCGTACCTTCCTGCCTATCTGTCACATGACAAATGTAACCCATATACGATAGATCTGGGCCCAGAGCTGTTTAACTTGTTCATCCATGACTTGAATGACAGGCCATATGCCTCCTCAGAGAGTTTGCTGACAACACAAAGCTGGGAAGAGTGCTGTGCAGCAGCTCTTGACAGACTGGACCCCATCAATGGCTGTCAAGAAGATGGGCTAGGCTCTTAGCAGTTACCAAGCAATAGGATAAGAGGCAACAGGCAGAAACTGAAGTTCCACCTGAACATGAACAAGAACTTCTCTACTGTGAAGGTGACAGAGCACTGAACAGACTGACCAGAGAGTGTGGTCTTCTCCAGAGGTATTCAAAAGCTGACTGGACAGAACAAAATTCTGCATAATGCACTCCAGAAAACCCTGCTTGGAGAGGGAGACTGGACCAGATGACCTTCTGTGGCCTCTTCCAAACTGACCCGTTCCAAGATTCCAGGATTCTGTGATGTTGTAACATGGAAGAGTCAGAAACCTGGAACGCACAACACAGTATGTTACGAGGCAGCTAGACTAACACGCTCCCACTAAACCTGGGCCCTGCCGGTGTGATCCGGAACAACCGTGCTCCGCTCCAGCAGCAGCTTGGCACCGACCGTGCCCATTGCAGCGCTGGCCGCTCCAGTGCGCTGCACCGCGTCGAGGGCCATTAAGAGCACAGCCACCGCGGGCAGGGCCCACCGGCGGGCTCCGGGGCGGGCGACTGCAAGCGCAGCATGAGCGGGGTAAGAGCCGGGACCCCCGGGAGCCGTTCCGCCCTCCACCGGCCGAGCGGTCGCCAGGCTCAGCCTGAGGCTGGCCAGCGGGGCCTGCGGTGGGCCCGCCATTTTGCGCCGGGCAGAACGAAACCGGCGGCGAGCGACTCCCACCATTTCGGGGACAGCACCTCCGTCCCCGCTCTGCGCCGTGAGGGCAGGGCCCCGCCCCCGCGGGGCTGGTCCTGAGCTTGGCCGCGCCCTCCGCCCCGCCCCGCTCAGGTATCAGGTGAAACTGGTCGGGAGTCAGAGCGGAGTGGCGGTGTCCGGAGCGCGGTGAGAGGATGGCTGTAC